ACAGGCCCCGGGGATCCAGGAAAGGTTCACGCCACAGCCTCTGGATACCCCGGCTGTGGCTAGGGAAAGCCCAGCCACACTTCAGTGTTGCCTCTGCTTTGGGGATGAGACCAAAAGACATACACAGCAGGCAACTTTGGAGGGAGAATTTTATTAGCTTCATGAGAAACAGCTGCCACGAGTCAAGACCTGGTTAGGGACAGGGCTCTGGTGGCTTCTGACCAATGGCATGAAAAAAGCCCAACTGTTCTCTCTACATCCTTGGACCAGGGTCTAAGTGGGGGTCCCAAGAAGAACACCCCACCTTCTTGCCCCCTCAGTGCAGGCACCGATTCAGGCGATGTATTCTCATTGAACATTAGGATCTCCTGCTCTATGATATCTCATTGAACAGGAAAATGAATCAAATCCACATTCTAGACATTGAGATCAAGCCTGATCTGGCATATCAGCCACTGCTCTGGATCATCAGCTGGGAACACGACATTCTGAATCCCCAATCAGAAAGTCAAGATTCTGAAATGTAAAATAAGAACCCCATAGATTTCATCAGGAGCTCCATATTCTAGAATACCTATATCCCAAATCAACCAGAAATCTGACATTCCAGGTTGTCAACTAGGAACTCAGTGTTCTGGCAGGCCAAATGAGAACCACTCCTTACATTCTGAAGGGTTAACAAGGAATTCAGCATTCCAGAATGACAAAAACCACAATATTCCAGGCAATGGGTGAGACCCAAAGTTCTAGATGTCAACCCCAACACTCACCATGCTAAACCAGAAAACCAACATTTAAGACCGTCAGTGCTGGCTTCAGCATTCTGGAATGACAAGCACAAGGCTCTGACCTCCAGAATGCTGCTTCCCTGTCCCCTCAGAGCTCTGTGGATGGTCGCTCCACAACAGGTTCATTGTCCCCACTGGAGTCGGGCACGCGGAAGGAAACGTAGGGACAGGTCTTGGTGTTGAGGCAGACCAGCTTCTTCAGCGTGGCCGTATTGACAATGTTGAAGCCCATCTCACCACCAAATGTGCTTGGCTTCCAGTACTCTGGAGAACAGATGGGATTCCCTAGGAGACCTTTGAGGGAAAAGGGAGCCCCCATCTCTATCATACTCTCCCCAAAGATGGAGTTCGGTAGGCACTTTTCAAGAAGCAGCCCTGGGTAGAACTCCAAGGCATCGATGTCTCCGTACAGCTCCTCCAACTCTGCTGCCATCTCCCTCTCTCCTGCAAGGGGAAGAAACTAGAGTCAGAGCCATGGTGCCATTAAGGTCAATATGGAGAGGGACCCTTGCAGGCCCACCTTTTTCCAAAGATAATAGGGACTCCAGGAGAACAATTTGAGCAATTGAGCATGTACCCTAAAATTTGGCCTCATTGCCATTGGGGAAAATGATCAGGAAGGAAAGCACACATTGACCTTCCTCCTGGACTGGGGTCTAAGGAAGGAAAGCACTACTTTCCTTCTCTAGCTAAGAAGGAGTCAAGGACCTAGATCTGCCACCAAACAACATGTGTCCTTCAGCAACTCATCCTACTTCTCTGAGCCCTAATTACCTGATCATTACATCAGGGAGACTCTCCCCACCTTGCTTCATTCGCAGGCAGGTTTCAAGGCCTTACTGTGACCCAAGCCCCTTTATTCTACTAGATCTCAATGATGTCATGTAACATGTCCAAACTCACACAGAAATCCAGTGACCATTTGGATGGGACCATTTGTCATGGGAGATTAAAGAGTGACAAAGATTGCTGTTCCAGGAGAACAGGGAACTCGTCCACTGATCCCAGGATCTGCCCCACTCTGCAAGACCCATGTGTTCACAAATGGTGACCAAGAGGAGTCAGACATGGAGTTTCCCTCCCCATTTCCTCAAATCCATCCTCCCTGGGGCACCATACATGATGTCACACCCTGCTTCAGGGGCTCCCTCTTATCTGTGAAAACGGTTCCCAATTTAGCTGCCCAACATCTGGGGATCTTCGGGGAAAGAATATATGCACACACATTTGTAATACAGATTCTTGGGCACCATCCAGGCTCACTGAATCAGAATCTCTGGGGGAGGCATCTGAGATTTGGTATTTTAATCGGCTTTCTAAGTGATTCTTACGCAGCTGGTCTATAAATGGGCATTTAGGAACCAAAATATTTAGAAAAGAAACCAAGATTTTACACCATTTGGCCCCAACCTCCCATTAGTAACCACCCCCAACACAAGCCCCTGGCTCCAGCCACACCTACGTCTGGTCCCCAACAGGCACGCGCTGTGTGACCTCTGCGCCTTCGTACTTTCCGTTGCTCTCCCTAAAATGTTCCTCCCTCTATTCTCCCATGAGGAAATTCCTGTTTATCCTTCAAACCCAGCTGAGAAGTCACCTTCTCTCCCCAGGGGGGGTTATCTGCCACCTCTCACCACCCCCACTCTTTACCTCCACGCCCCTCGTAACTCCCGCAGTCCCAGGGCTGGCCACATGCATTGTCCCATTCTGTCTCCTTGATGTCTCCCTTGCTTTACTGCAGAGTTGCTCGAGGGCAGGGCCTGTGTCCAGCAAACAGCTGCTCACCTGTGAGCTCCTGGAAAGAGGCGTAGGGCTTCAGGCCAAACCGCTTGCGGTACTCATTGAAAGGCTGCAGCCGCATTTCCCGCGATTCCTTGATGACATCCACGGCCACGTACAGGACGTGGTGGTCCATGTTCCTGCCCCCGCCAATCTGCCAGGAGATAAGCACAGCAATGTCTGAGAGCCAGGCCAGACTGTCCCGGAGCCTGTGTAAGGTCCTAGGAGAAGAGCTCCAAGTCACACGTCTTTCTGAGCTAGGAGGGAGACGAGAGCACAGCCCCAGGTCCGCGGGTGCTGTGCTTTCTCAGGGAGCCCCTCTGAGTCTCGGTCTCTGTCTCTGAAGTGTGGCGTGGGCCAGGAGGACCTCTCTAGTGGCTCACCCCCAGTCCTTTGAATTATACCAACAGGTGATGTAATCCCCCATAAAGGGAGGAAAAATAGAGTTCGAAACCAGCTAACCTAGTGAGACAAAGAAGGCTCTGGAAAAAGATTCTGATTCATAACAGCTAAGAAGCATTGGTTTAAAGAAAGCTCTATTGCTCAGGATGAAATGATAATACTTAAGAGAGAGCTCTGTCTCAGTAGAGCAATTATAATTGGGCAGGAAAGAAGAAAAGTAGAGTTGGATGAAATCACACACCTTGGAGCAAAGCAAACAGAGACCAGTGCCAACCCCAGCTTGGGGCTGTTGTGGGTTGAATTGTGTTCCCCCAAAAAGATATGATGCAGTCCTCACCCCCAGCACCTGTGAACGTGACCTTATGTGGAAACAGTCTTTGCAGATGTAATTAAGTTAAGATGAGGTCATACTGGACTTCATGAGAAACAGCTGCCACGAGTCAAGACCTGGTTAGGGACAGGGCTCTGGTGGCTTCTGACCAATGGCATGAAAAAAGCCCAACTGTTCTCTCTACATCCTTGGACCAGGGTCTAAGTGGGGGTCCCAAGAAGAACACCCCACCTTCTTGCCCCCTCAGTGCAGGCACCGATTCAGGCGATGTATTCTCGTTGAACATTAGGATCTCCTGCTCTATGATATCTCATTGAACAGGAAAATGAATCAAATCCACATTCTAGACATTGAGATCAAGCCTGATCTGGCATATCAGCCACTGCTCTGGATCATCAGCTGGGAACACGACATTCTGAATCCCCAATCAGAAAGTCAAGATTCTGAAATGTAAAATAAGAACCCCATAGATTTCATCAGGAGCTCTGGGGTTGGCAAGCCTCACATTTGTAGAGCAGGCCAGCAGGCTGGAAACTCAGGTAGTAGTTGATGCTTCAGTCTTGAAGCAGAAGTCTTCTTTTCTGGAAAAGCTTGATTTTTATTCTTTTTAAAGCCTTTCAATTGGTTAGATGAATCCCACCCATATTATTCAGTGCAATCTTCTTTACTTAAAGTCAAATAATTATAGATGTTAACCACATCTACAAAATACCTTCACAGCCACAGCTAGATCAGTGTTTGATTAAATAACTGGGCACTATAGCCCAGCCAAGTTGACATATAAAACCAGCCATCACATCCACCAAATCAAAACTCCAGGAATGAGTGTTCAATTATGAGCATTAAGATCCTTCACTCTGAAGAAGCTGTCTTAGAGCACTTGTCATATTTCCCTTTGAAAAACTTTCGTGCGTGATTGTCCATATTAAGCAAAGTCCACCTAATCTAGGCATCTGCATTCAAAAGAGGACTATGCCAGGAATCTGTCCCATCCTTCCATCCCCACAGCGCTTCCCCTGGCCCTAGCTGCCATCATCTCCTGGTTGGACCACGGATGCAGCCTCCTCAGTTCTGCCAGCCTCCAGTCCTTCCTGCTCTGCCGTGCTGGCCACCCTCCCAGAGGGCACCCTCTCCAAAACACTAGTCTGATTACATCGCCTAGATTAAAAGCATTATATTAATAGTACTTGTGTAACTCAGGCCCGCAGTCATAAAGGTTTGGTTGCAAGCAACAGACACCAATTCTGAATGATTTAAGCAAAAGAGGAATTCCTGGAAGAGCCCACAGGATGGAAGGAAAAGCTAAGGTCTTGAGAAGGTCAGGAATCCAGGCTGCCCTAGGGATTTGGGGGCAGGAACGAATGGACCATCTTTTCAGAGCCAGTTGTGGGGATGAATCAGAGCAGTGGTCTCAAACCCCATGTAACTCCATTCAGGGGCCTGTTTCAAGGAGAAGGGGTCTGACTGCCTGGGAGTGTGTCAAAGGCCCAACCATTGGCCAGAACACAGCCCTGATGGAATCACCAAGACTGAAATGAACAAGGAGGGAGGATTCTAGTAAGGGGTGCTAGCAGAAGAGGGGAAATAGATCCTGGGTGAGCAAGGACGAGGCACAGCCACTCCACGCCCACTCCTGGCACCTGAAGGATCCTGCTACATCAGAGAATTGCATTCTCTGCATACAAAAGGGCCGGGAAAGAATGGTGGGAGCAGTTCCTGGCCAACTAAGGGGAAACAAGGATGACTTCCTGGACTATAAGACAGGAGGCCCAGCCTCAAGCACTGTCAGCCTGAATCCCAATTTCCCCTGTTGTTTCTGGGCCACAGCTTTTCCTGAGGAATGCTAAGCCCAAAGCGTGGAGCATGAAGGACCTTTTCTGAACCTTACCCTCCCATCCTCTCCTGTCTCTTTGATGCCTACGAGGGTCCTTATAGCTGGGAAAGGGTCTCAGGGCTGGAGTAGAGGGAAATGGGGCTGTCTGCCCTCAGTCACCACCGCTCCATCTCCGATCTTGGGAGTGAAGGAGGGGAGGACAGAGCAGGGTGGGTTAAATGGGAAGTCACACCCACCTTGCACTTATTTCATTGTTTTCTTATTTATTGTCTGTTCTACCCCCACTGAAATGTGAGCTCCATAAGGACAGAAGCCCTGTCTGTATTGATCACTCAGTGCTGTGTCCCCAAACCTGTTAACAGTAACTGGCACATAGTCAGCACTTAGGAAAATAAATATTTGGGACTGAGTAGCCTGCATGTAAGGTGGAGGCTACCCCCAAACCTTCTGCCTTTGAACCCAAGCCGGACAGGCAAGACCAGGCCTGGCACTGAGTCAAACCAGGACTCGAGAGGAGCACAAGTTCCAGACTCAGCCAGGGCTGGGGCCAAGCCTGGCTCTGGCACCTGTGGGGCACGTCTGTCACTTGACCACTCTGAGGCTGAGTTTCCTGGGTTTTGAAATGGGGATTATACCACCCACTTCACACCGTTGTTGTGAGAATAGATGAGAATTAAATGTGCAAAATTGGCACACAAGCAGTGTTCTCACCTGTCGTACACTCTGTAAGGGAGGAAGTTGTTTTAATCAGTGAGAACTGAATGCTGCATCTCCTGGGGCTGGAGTATTGGGCATTTTAGGAGAACATCCTGAAAAATGTAATGCCTGGCCCACAGGGAGAAATAAAACACCAGCAGTATGGCATCTACACAGCAACAGGCCCCGGGGATCCAGGAAAGGTTCACGCCACAGCCTCTGGATACCCCGGCTGTGGCTAGGGAAAGCCCAGCCACACTTCAGTGTTGCCTCTGCTTTGGGGATGAGACCAAAAGACATACACAGCAGGCAACTTTGGAGGGAGAATTTTATTAGCTTCATGAGAAACAGCTGCCACGAGTCAAGACCTGGTTAGGGACAGGGCTCTGGTGGCTTCTGACCAATGGCATGAAAAAAGCCCAACTGTTCTCTCTACATCCTTGGACCAGGGTCTAAGTGGGGGTCCCAAGAAGAACACCCCACCTTCTTGCCCCCTCAGTGCAGGCACCGATTCAGGCGATGTATTCTCATTGAACATTAGGATCTCCTGCTCTATGATATCTCATTGAACAGGAAAATGAATCAAATCCACATTCTAGACATTGAGATCAAGCCTGATCTGGCATATCAGCCACTGCTCTGGATCATCAGCTGGGAACACGACATTCTGAATCCCCAATCAGAAAGTCAAGATTCTGAAATGTAAAATAAGAACCCCATAGATTTCATCAGGAGCTCCATATTCTAGAATACCTATATCCCAAATCAACCAGAAATCTGACATTCCAGGTTGTCAACTAGGAACTCAGTGTTCTGGCAGGCCAAATGAGAACCACTCCTTACATTCTGAAGGGTTAACAAGGAATTCAGCATTCCAGAATGACAAAAACCACAATATTCCAGGCAATGGGTGAGACCCAAAGTTCTAGATGTCAACCCCAACACTCACCATGCTAAACCAGAAAACCAACATTTAAGACCGTCAGTGCTGGCTTCAGCATTCTGGAATGACAAGCACAAGGCTCTGACCTCCAGAATGCTGCTTCCCTGTCCCCTCAGAGCTCTGTGGATGGTCGCTCCACAACAGGTTCATTGTCCCCACTGGAGTCGGGCACGCGGAAGGAAACGTAGGGACAGGTCTTGGTGTTGAGGCAGACCAGCTTCTTCAGCGTGGCCGTATTGACAATGTTGAAGCCCATCTCACCACCAAATGTGCTTGGCTTCCAGTACTCTGGAGAACAGATGGGATTCCCTAGGAGACCTTTGAGGGAAAAGGGAGCCCCCATCTCTATCATACTCTCCCCAAAGATGGAGTTCGGTAGGCACTTTTCAAGAAGCAGCCCTGGGTAGAACTCCAAGGCATCGATGTCTCCGTACAGCTCCTCCAACTCTGCTGCCATCTCCCTCTCTCCTGCAAGGGGAAGAAACTAGAGTCAGAGCCATGGTGCCATTAAGGTCAATATGGAGAGGGACCCTTGCAGGCCCACCTTTTTCCAAAGATAATAGGGACTCCAGGAGAACAATTTGAGCAATTGAGCATGTACCCTAAAATTTGGCCTCATTGCCATTGGGGAAAATGATCAGGAAGGAAAGCACACATTGACCTTCCTCCTGGACTGGGGTCTAAGGAAGGAAAGCACTACTTTCCTTCTCTAGCTAAGAAGGAGTCAAGGACCTAGATCTGCCACCAAACAACATGTGTCCTTCAGCAACTCATCCTACTTCTCTGAGCCCTAATTACCTGATCATTACATCAGGGAGACTCTCCCCACCTTGCTTCATTCGCAGGCAGGTTTCAAGGCCTTACTGTGACCCAAGCCCCTTTATTCTACTAGATCTCAATGATGTCATGTAACATGTCCAAACTCACACA